TATCCTTCTTCTTTCAGGACGTATTCGATCATGACTCTCCAATACTTCCTCTCCTTTGTATCTCTTAGCACTGTTTTTTCTTAGTATCCTTCCAAGTCCCTATTCTGCTACGATACTACACCTTACAGGGAGCACAACTTTTAGGTTCCATTGAGAACAATTTCTCTTTTAATACACAGACTTTTTCGCTGAGAACAGTCCAAATTTATTCTGATTTGCCAGTCATAATTAGCAGTTAAGCTGTTATCATATCATTGCCAACGTTTGTTCCCGATTTTCATTGTCAATATGAAAAGACTTGTCACAAGCTTTTGTCTTACAGCCGATTTCTGGTGTGTTCTACAATGAAACATGGCATCTTTCATTTGCGAGTAAGAATTTGTTGAATGTTGACGCATTCTCCATAAATGTAAGCCTTAATGATGAACGATGAAAAATTGCACATTCGCCATATCGTTGACTGCTGACCTGAGATGGAACAAATACATTGAGTCAATTGCCTCGCCCACCGCAAGGAAAGTTGGCACCCTGTGACGCGCCAGGAAATTTGTCTCCCCGGAATCGATCCTCCAGATCTACAAATCAACAATTCGGCCTTGCATGGAGTATTGCTGCCATATATGGTCTGGTGCCTCTTCTGTTTGTCTCAGGATTCTTGATAGGCTCCAGAGGCGGATATGCAATATAATTGGCCCTGCTCTGGCATCTCGTCTACAGTCATTTTTCTCACAGACGCGCCGTCCCCTCTATCTCTGTCTTTTCTACAAATACTTTCATGGTAATTGCTCCGAGGAGCTGCATTCGCTGGTTCCCAGACTTCGTGAGTTCAAGCACCCTACGAGGCTGGCATCCCGCTCTCACCCCTTCACTGTCGAAACTGTTAAATGTAGCCGTCTCTTCTACTCTAATAGCTTCATGTCTCGCACCTCTCGTCTGTGGAACTCCCTTCCCTATTCCCTATAATCTCCAGCTATTCAAATGTAATGTCAATCGACATCTCCAGTTGCCTTGATCTATCCACTACCCTACTCTTCATACTCTCTTCTATCTCTCCTCTCTGATCTCGCTCTACATTTTCTGTAACCCCTTGCGTCCTAGTGGCTTCCCACCTTGCTTGTGGTGAAATGTTTAAAAAAATAAAACATATTATACTCCATACATTCTGGAAAGAATTAAGCGTCGGAACTGCGACAAAAGAACAAAAAAACACATTCAAAAGGTTTATTCTCTTCGGAAGTTCAAAAAATGCTTTGGCAGATTTGGTCAGAATGATTTTAACCTAAATGGTCAATCACGTCCCGGAGAACCTTCAGATGTCGATGAAGACGCTCTGCTTGTCATCGTGAAGAATAAACCGAGGATTTCGACGGAAGAGATTGCCAAGCGTTTGAAATTGGATATCTGGGTTCAAGAAGAACGGCCATTTTTGGCAAATCTGAACGGTATCATTTTCCACCACGACAACGCAAGACTGCATGTTGTAAAGCTGATCTTTGAGACGGTTAAAGAATTGAAATGGGAAACTCTCCAGGACCCAGCGTATTCTCCTGACATGTTTCCTTCGGATTTTCATTTCTCGACAGGATAATTGAAATGGCAAATAATTTGACTCTGCATAGGCAATCGAAAACTGCAACCTTCTACCAACAAAAACTCTTGAAGTTTCAACGAAAATGGTATCAACAAGCTTGTAGAACAATGGGAGACAGTTGTTAAAACAATGGCGACTATGTACTTGACTAATAAATGTATTTTTCTATGTAAAACTGGTTTTATTTTCTAATCGGGTAGGAACTTTTACAATGATCTAATTTAAAAAATGTTCTTACGAAAATGGCATCAACGAGGGGTGGATGTAGTTAAAATAATAGCAGTGTCAAGAGATTTTTTGCAGGCATGAAACGTCCTTTGCCCATTTCAAAAACTCAACACATGGGTGCCACATTCTCTGAGTTAACAGAACAAGCTCAGTCATGTTTCTGCTGTGATTTCTTTGTTGATACAACATGAAAAGGAGTTGGTTTTGGACATAATTGTCACAGGTGATGAAAAAATGGCTCGTTTATAACATTCAATGCAAACAGAGCTGGAAACAATTTCGTAAATGTGTAGAATCCATGGCTAAAATGGGTTTGCATCCAATGAAGATACCGCTGACCATTTGGTAGGATTTCAGATGAATAATTCACTTTGAGCTGATTCCAGCTGCTGAAACAATAACTGCAAAGAAGTACTGCAACCAACTCATCAATCTCAAAGTAACTATTCAAGAAAAATGGCCGATTCTTGGTAAATCAAAAAAAGAAGTGTCATTTTTCCACTATGACAATGCAAGACTGCATGTTGTAGAACAAGCCTTGCAGAAGATTAAAGAGTTGAAATGGGACCCCACCCTCCAGCACCCACCCTATTCTCCTGACTTGGCTCTTTTGGATTTTCATTTGTTCCAGTCTCTGCAGAACAATTTAAATAACTACAAATTTGACATTGTACAGTCAGC